AGTCATACTGCTGGCTCTTATTCATAATTAGCTTATCCACACGTCAACTATTTCTGCATCATATGCATCATAAATGAGACAGATGTCAACATGAGCACAAAGACTGTGTATGTGAGGTAAAATAAAAAGGTACAAGAGAGGGAAGAGTTAAATCCATAGACCATGAGGAACTCTGCCAACTTTGACTGTCTTTCTCTATTGCTCTCCACCTTGCTTTGTTTTGTTTAGATAGAAACTCATATGTCACACAGGGTCTGGCTTTGAATTTGCTATGTAGTCAAGAATGACCTGGGAACTCTGATCCTACTGCTTGTGCCACTCCATGCTAGAATTACAGGTGGGACCACCACAGTCAGTTTATAGAGGGCGGGGACTGGACTCAAGCCTTTGTGCATGCCAGGCAAGCACTCTGTTGCCTGAGCTATAGCCCCAGCCCTCCACCAAATTTTCTGAGGAAGGTGACCTCACCTAAATCTGACGTGGAAGTCGATGGGGGGGTGTGTCTCTACCCTCCTGTGGAGCCACACATGGGTGTGGTGCTTTTATGTCAGTGCTGGGAGACCTGAGCTGAGATCCTCATGCTTGCATAGCAAGCACTTTGCTCCATCAGCCACCTTCCAGCCAGCGGCATCCTCACAGATCCTGCCAAACAGCATAGATAGTGCTGCTTGCACAGTGCCTTTTCATTATGTCACATCAGGGTCTCTCATGGGAATAGGTTTGATGATATCTTTTCTAGTTTTTTTTTTTTTTTTTTTTTTTTTAAGTAAAGGGGAAATTTGTGTTTGGGGTTTTTTTTTTTTTTTTTTTTTTTTTTTTTTTCTGAGCAAGGGTGTGTTTAAGTTTCCACTTTTAGACACCAGACTTCCAGCTCCCTTTCTCTCCCTACCCTCCTTCCCTGTGTGTGCCACAGATGGATACTAGGCAGCCTCCTTGAGACATCAATGACAACATGATGGGCCCTGAGGCAAGAGGGGATCATCATTTGCTAACTACCTTTCTGGCTGCTTCTGCCAAATTCACTACATTCACACTCCTGACTTTTCTAAGTCAACAATGGACCACAATAAGAAAATAGCGCATTAAAAAGATACATGTCATGATTTACCTCTTTTCAACTTTGGTTCCAGTGGGCAAAACCCACCATCTCTGCCTAATTCTGAATAGCATTTAAGTGACATGAAGTAACGTAATGCTTTCAGGGACACACTTATAAAAAGCAACACACACACACACACACACACACACACACACACACACACTAGCTAGAGAAATGTAAATGAGTCCTACTCCTGTGCACATGGAGTTGGCAGTGCCCATTGAAACTTAACGTGCAGTAAAATCTCAGCCAAAAGTTAACACTTCTAGGGATCTATCCTCCCAAAATACTCAAATAGCTTAATTGATCAATGAAATATAGTTTGAAATAGCATTTTAAAAAATAGAAGCAGGGCTTAGCAGTTATGAGCACTTGTGACTCTTGCAGAGGACCTAGGTTCAACTCTACTCACGTGGCAGTTTATAGCCATCTGCTACTTCAGTTCCAGGAGATCTGATGCTTTCTGCTGACCCCCATAGGCACCAAGCATGCAAGTGGTACACATACATACATACATGTAGGCAAAACACTCATAAAACAAAATAAATCTAACAAAAAGCTAAAGAAAGAATTAAGACAATTGTGAATAAGAAATTGATTACTGAGAAATGACTCAGCAGTTAAGAGTGGATACTACTCTTGAAGAAGACCCTAGTTCACTTCCCAGTACCCACATTGGGTGACTCACACCACCTGTAACCCCAGTTCCATGTACAATATTATGCCTCTAACCTCTTCAGGCACCAGCACTCATGTGCACATTCACGCACATATACACATAACTAATTTGTTTAAAAATTTTAAAAAGCAGTGGGGAACTGTTTATGGAGAATAGCTACAGAAGACAAAGGAAGAAGTCCCTGTGAATTGTTTTGGAAAATGCTCTATCATATTCAGTTATTTAAAAGTAGAAAGATAGAGGGTGATAACGTTGTTTATTTCTCTTCTCCCAAGGAAATGGTATTTAGTAAACCATATGTAAGACAAATTGCAGCGTTCACAAAAATGAACCAAGTTGCTCAGTAAAAAGTCACCAATCATTCAATAGATGCACAATATATTTGTAATCAAACCAGTGAAAGTCACTGCACTTGCAAATGTGTGTGTGTGTGTGTGTGTGTGTGTGTGTGTGTGTGTGTAATGAAGAATTTATCCAAAGACATTTCACAGCAGTTATTACAAGTTCATAAAGAGGTTCCTTATAATGCTTTTAAATGTCAGCAGATGTTATAAAATGTTTCTACTCAGTTATAGCTGTAGTTGAGTAAAATTCATTGCACATGAATCAAAATAACAGAACCTGAATGAACAGTCCTGTGGCAATAGATGCAAGTTAAAAGAATGGATTTGGATTGTCTCACAAAAGCAAAGGCAGGCTGCATATTCTCTCAGAGTCTTCTATAAATACTCCTTGTCTTAGTGAGCTGTGGATTCTTACTGAGCAACTTAGAATTTAACATTGCAGTTCCTGATGGATGCCTGAAGATAGTCACAAGTCCTCATTGCTGTAGAACAGAATTATGGGTCTTAATTATCAACAAATCCAATCTTGAATGAAAAAATCCTTTACAAGAGACCATTGTCCTATGTGAAAATAGAAGATGTAGCTACTTTTGCAGGAAAACAGCTAGCAAGAAGAACTTAAAAACTTGGGCCCATTCCCACATACACATTAAAGGGCCATTGTCATCAAAGTTTAACAATCTATCCTGAAAAAGGTAACACCCGGTGTCACCAAAGTCCACCTTAGTCTTCTGTTTTTAAGTCAGGACAACACCCAAAGAACATGTAAGTGTGAGCAAATGACTGCATGAGAAAAGAAAAGCTAAAAGTGTGAGCGAATGTGTGAGCGAATGACTGCAGGAGAAAAGCTAAGACAAACTGGTTGCAGATTTTCTGCCTGGATGACCAGTTGAGTAGAACACATGAAGCAGATGACAAGTGTCCCTAAGTAAGAAAGCAGATCTGCCTGCTTCTATCCAAATATATTCTCCCTGCCATAGTACATCAGTCACAAAAAGGGTTAGCTTTATTTAACAGGAAAAACAAAATAACAGTTGCTGAAACAAAAGAACTTTTCACTAAGAGAAATCTAAAGTTAGGCAACTCAGCATTGACACAATGGTTCCATTGTCTTGCCTAACTATGAGAAAGGCCTCAATCTGGTCCCTGCCCTAGAGGAACAAAAACTGAAACCTCTAAGAAAAGCTAAAAATAAGTGATAAGTTGACGGGGGAATTTCAAATTTATCTTGTAAACAAGTATCACTAAAATACACAGCATGTCTCTGTAAATAAGAAGAACATAATGAATGAATAAAAATGTAAGTGAACAGGTCACTAAAAGGAAATATAAATGGGTCTTGGGACTTTAGGTTTTTTAACACTGTAAATTGTTCTTTGCAATCTGTCTTTCATTTTTTTCTCTTTTCCTGGCATTCAAAATTCTAAAGAAAGAGCCAACTTAGTGATTAAGATGTTGTCTGGAAAATCAGCTACTTTCAGGAAATAGAAACAAGGAAAACATTGGCCCACGGCTTTCTAATCTGCAATCCGGCGTACAGAACACAGAATGTCTGGTGACCCCATCAGATAACATCAGAATATTTATCAAGAGATGTAACACTGTAAGGCTACTTGATTACACTGGCACCCACTCATCTAAGGCTAGAAATTTTCCATTTCATCACTCTAAGTTATGGTTGTTAGAAGAGCTGGTTCTTTGAAGACAGAAATTTAGTTCTCCTTTCATGGTTCTTTCTCTATTCATTGGCTTCATTCAACAGCAACAGAATCAGACTTCTCAGGACTACAGGGTGAAAATGATGTGCAATCTCAAATCTGATACAAATGAAAGCTCAAGGAATTGCTCATTTCTCCTCACAGGTGGCTAAAAAGTCAAACATTTGAATCTGTAATCTCAGTACTTGGGGAGCAGAAGAAGAAGGCCCCCCAGCTCATTGTCAACCCAGACTATATAGTGAGATCCTCATCAACAACACCCCCAACAAGAAGAAAATAAAATTGGACACCATATTCTGTGGTGGAATTGTGGGGAAATGGGCAGTCAAATGCGGCGCTGGCAGACTGTAAGCTGGCGCATCCTCTGGTAGAGGATTCCACCCACAAGACTATAGTAGTCATAATAGTCCATTGAAACTGCTCATTGTTATTCTAAATGTTTGCTTATCTTGATGTTTAATGTTAAGCAAACATTAAATAGAAATGGTTACTCTGAAGCATTATTTGTAGGTGAATAAAATTTGGAAAGTTTCTGGCAAAATTCTATTAAAAGTGAATGAGGAAGCCATGTGTTGTTACATAATTGTTTTGTAAGTACTTTAGTGATAGCATCATAATGTCTTCTGAATACTTATGCCCATGGGTAAGTGTAGCTCTTACCCCTCATCAAGGAATTTTCTGTTTGCAGCAGAGACCATCACAGAAAACCACACCTAGTCAAAATACAGACAACAACTGCCCTTGGATTGCCCAGCCCCAGTGGATAAATCTGCAACACAACTCCTGCTCCTAAGATGCAAGGGGCGTTGACAAAGGAAGCAGAAAGGCTGGAAGAGTCAGAGGACCAGGAAATGGCAGGGAAGCTAAACCCATGATACCTCAAATAGGATGGTCAAACAAGACCAAAAAAATGGCACCAACAGACATGCCAACATAGAAGGGAAATGCCACATGGAGACCCAGTCCGAGATAAAGAACTACTGGCAACAAATGACTTCTGAGAAGGAGAGAATTCATCTCCCCTAGGGAAGAGCTCCTTAACAGACTCAGCAGCTTATATTTATAGATTATATATGTAACCAAAACAAAGAAAAGAGGCTGTGAATCTGAGAGGATGTTCAGGGGCATTGCTTTGGAAATCCCTCCCATACTCTTCTTACCTGCTGCGGGTGATTAAGCCTTTTCTCACAGTTCATTCCTGTCCATGCTTGTTTGGGCTTTGCCCTCACCAAGATGCATTAGCTACAAGGGAGGTATAAAGAAGACATACTATAGAAATAGAGATAGCCATTTATAACAATATCTTCAATCTTTGAAAGTAACGATTAAAAACAGGAAGGGACCCTAGAGAGAAAGCACATACAATTTGGCACATATATTAAGTGTGTTTCAAATGAAAGCTAAAGAAGCAATGTATAGGAATTCTAAGACCTCCAGCATACCAGGAAGAGGATAAACTTTTGACTTAGTTCTCCTGAGTGAGTATTCACCATTTGATAAAGGGGGAAACCCTTTCCCTACATTTAACTGTGTATATTCTCGGTAGTGTCGAATGGAGTCCCACTGATAAAACTGGTCAGGATTTAGCTACTCTTACTTAGTCTCAAAGGGCAACTTTGATTTAGCCACTTCTATTTAGTCTCAAGAAAATCCCTCACAGCACATCCACAAGCTTCTTCCCCAGGTGGTTTTAAATACTGTCACATTGACAATCAAGACTCATCATTACAACTCTACCCCTGTCACCTTTACACTCAAGTACCAGTAAGTTCCCTAAGATCCCCTAAATATATTCTAACCCATCTAGATGCATCTCCAACTCAGCCTGTTGCTACATGTTTCCCTAATGTCATCAAATTGGAGACAAAGCATGGGGCGGGGCAACAGCAGCATTCTGAGGGCCCTGGTTTCTTTTGTGAAGTTTACATAACTATGTGATGGTGTAACCACATCTCACAACCCTAGAAGGAGCCTATGCTGGGGAGAACAGAGCAGTGCTGGCGCTGACACAGATTCATCCGTCAGTGGAGCAGGATGGAGAGCCCAGAAATCAACCTGTGGATTCATGGTCAATTGATTTCGAATGAAGGTGCCAAGAACACACCATGGGGAAAGGATATTCTCAACAATGAGGCTGGGAAAGAGAGAATGTCTGTGTGAAGAGGACCAAAAATAAGTCAAAAGTGATTAAAGACTTAAATGTCAGAATGGAAAATATACATTTTACATACAAATCCTCAAAGCACAGGCAATAAAACTTCAAGTTAAAAGGCTTAAGATTGGTGTGTTTGCTTGCTTTATCCCAAGCTTGCCTCCTTACCAGTCTCATTAAATGAAAGGGCATCGAGAAGAGGAATTTGTAAACACTTTGGAAATGAAAGGCTTCCAGGAAAACAGACACAAGCAGACAGGACACAGAGAACTTTGTGCGGGACTTACCCTAACCCAGCCTTTCCTCTGAGCAAATTAAAACTAAGCAACTTCCTGAGATGGGAGGCTTTCTGGTTTCTTCCCATCAGCGTGATCTTTTTTTCACTTTATTTCCCTTGCCTCCTTTCCCGTACTGATGTTATGTTAATAGTGTTGTCTTGTTTTATTTCCTGCTTTTTCTGTTGTCACTTTTGTTGGTGCCCTGCCTTTCCCCTCCCACTGTCTTTAATTCCTGTGGTTTGTGGTCTACCTAGGAAGTAGGAGTGCCATTCCCTCTGGCATTTTTAAAGCTGCTTTTTATATCTCTAAGACCTACAGCTGCTGGGAAAGGCCACCAGTCCAGAGAAGTGCAGCCACGTGACACCAGGGGATATTTTGGGGTAACCCTGCCTGGCCATTACTCTCAACTTATGAAATACAGTCAGTGATAAAAACTCATGGCAGACCAACTGCCTACACAGTGTGGGATAAAGGCATGATGGATGGATCAGCAATGATGGGTAGCTCCTGTTTTACCCTTGTCCGTGGATTTTGGTTTATGAGTTCCTTTCAGCTAGAACTAAGCTATCCCAGGGATAACAGGCCTCTACCAGCAGTGGGCTATGGGTTTTTGCTTGTTTATCAATAACACCTCCGTTAGTTAGTAAAACAAAATTATTACTGATTGACACAAAAGTTTCAGTCCATTTCAGTGGCTTTTAATTTAGACAGAAAGTTTGGCATATGGATCAAGATTTCTAGGACTGTAAAATAGACTCTTGTAAGTTTGCACTAAACACTGAATTTAATATATAAGTGAAGACTTATTCATAGATGCTTAATAATCCTTGTTATCATCCATTTGCTCTTTTAGGAAATATAATCTTAATCCTGCATTCAACCTTTAAGAAAACTACATGACCCATTTTAATTTTAGGAAGTAAAGCCCAGTTCTACACATGAACAACTGAGTTCACATTAACATGTCAGCTGATCACTGGCACAGTCCTCACAGTGTTTTTCAAAGACCTATGCAATGCATTTTCATCTCCATTTACAGTGTGAAATCCCCAATGCTCTTTAGCATACCTAAGGTCACAATGACTGTAGTAGTCTGAATGTAATTGGTTCCCATAATCTCATAGGTAGTGGCACTATTAGGAGGCCTTGATTTGGTGGAGTGGGTGTGGCCTTGTTGGAGGAAGTGGGGGTGGGCTTTGAGGTTTCCTATGCTCAGGATACTGATCAGTGTGCCAGTCAACTTCCTGTTGTCTGTAAGATGTAGGACTCTCAGCTATTACTCCAGCACCACATCTGCCTGCATGCTACCATGTCCCAGCATGATGACAATGGACTAAACCTCTGAACATGAAAGCCACCACCTCAATTAAATGTTTTCCTTTAACTGAGGTGGCTTACTATAGTTTCAGAGGTTCAGTCCATTATCATCATTGTGGAGAGCATTGCAGCATGCAGGCAGACATGGTACCTGAGAGTCATACATGTTATAGACAACAGGAACTCATCTGACACACTGGGCAGTGTCCTGAGCATAGGAAACCTCAAAGCGCACCCCCACAGGGACACACTTTTTCCAACAAGGCCACACCCACTCCACGAAACCCACATCTCCTAATAGTGTCACTCCTAGTGGGATTATGGGGGCCAATTACATTCAAACTACCACACCCTGTAATAGCACATGTCACAGATTTGATACATTTCAGCAAAAGCAGCAACCAAAAATTTCTACAAAGGCAATGTTGGGTGCATATGATCAAGATAAACAGTATACAGATGTTGTTGATAATAAAAGTATGTACTATTAAAACAAACAAACATAAAAGGAATCTTGAGGCTGACGGTATAACTTAGTGACTGATTGCTTGTTTAATATACATAAGGACCTAGGTTTGATCTCTAACAAGAAAGACAAGGGAAGAAGAAAAGAGGAGAGGGGAAAGGGGAAAGAAGGATCTTATTCTCCTGTAACCCCTAATCACCTAATTTATGAAATTTAGAAAATTGTTTCCATAGTTGTCAACCTTAAACAGCTCCCTATGTAAGCAACACTAAATAGACACACTCAGCTGTATTTATATACACACTCGTACATATATATGTAATAAGGAGAGGCCATGGATTTCAGAGGGAGTTGGAACAACATGGGAGGAGTTGAAAATGGAAGAGGCTGGGATGTAAATTATGTAAATATTATCCTCAAGAAAAAAATTCTACAACTATTTCAAAAAACATACCCCTTCTAATTCAGAAAAGAAAGGAGATGAGCAAGAGTGGAGAAAGCAAAGAAAGAGGGTTAATAGGATCAAAAACCATATATGCATGAACAAAAATGCCATAATGAAACTCATCATATATGACTAACATATGCTAGTCAATACTTGAGCCACGTAGGGCATGGGTGAGACACTTTTGGATGTGTCAGTGAAGGCCTTTCCAGAGGGAAGACACACATGACAGAAAGGAGCACCATCCATGAATTAGGTCCAGAAATGAATAAGAAAGGAAGAAGGAGATATTTAGCTGATTGCTAATGTTCCCACTTTTCTGCTCTCTGATCTACCCAAACACACAGGATAGGCATAGCCTAGATAAATAGTCAAGATTTTGTGGCATTCTGAAAGAGGAGAAAATAACCAACCCCAGTCTACAAGAATGAAGTGATTTCTCAAGACATTTTGGTTCTCAGTGCAGGCTGTGTACTACAATCACTTAAGGATTTTCTTAAAAAGCAAACATGTATTAGCATGCCCAAGAAACAACAGACTCAGTACACTAGGGTGGAGTGCAGGCAACTGTACATGTTAAAAGCTGGACAGCCTCTTCTAATGGTGCACCCAGAGATGGGAAGCACTGATCTAAAGGGAAAACCCTGAAAGTTAACAGATGGCATGTAAATGTGTTGGATCCAATGAACTGAGATGCAGGGGGCCTTGAATATAGTAATTTCATCCTGTGACTAAGAGACAGAGGAAGAAAGACCTAAATAATCCAAAAAGCGGAGTAAACATGGAGACACCTGGGGTTTTGTCTATAGAGGACCAATAGAAGATAGGCTAGAAAAATGTATTTAATAAATAAATTATTTTAGCTTTGCTTTGAAAAGAATGAAAGTGAATCACACAAAAGTAAAAATTAACTGTGGAGTTTGATTAAAAATAGATAAGTAAAATTTAATCAAACTATTTATTTTGGTTTTTTTCCAAATTGGTTTTGAAACAAGCAATAGAGTATATTTGCTTAAACCATAGGTCACTGTCATGGCCAAATATCACACATGAGGGCTGGGAATATAGCCTAGGAGGCAAGCACTTGTCTAGTGTGAAGCCCTGAATTGGATTCTCAGCACTAGAGCAGGTGGGGGAGGAATCAGTGTCACAGATGAATACAGGCAATTTATACAGCTTATCCAAAAACATTCCCACACCATATTTTTGTGGTTCTTATCCACTGGCTGCTTCTGACAATCTTCTATTTAAGTATACCTATAGCTTCACCTTTAATTCTCCCAGAATCCTTCTCCAAGCACTGTCTAACGTCACATTCACCTGTAACACTATATCAACTTGTCTTTCTTTATACTTATCTCATATCAGCAGGTACTTCCACTTGATAAAATGTTTAAACAAAAAAAAAGGCAAATAAGATATCTCTCCTGATAAAATTAGGTTGATAACCCTTTTGAAGACTATCAGCTATGGCAGAGGGAACTGGCTTTGACTACTCAGCTTCCAGATTTGAGACAAGAGTAAAGCCTACTGTGAAGGAACTGAGGCAAAGCCTTTGAACTTCGTGTCTCAGTTCACTAACAACAGCAGGTGGGAAGTGCAACCCTTTCTCCACATAATTTCCCCTCCAGGATGCTCTGCTTGGCTTGGTGAGCACTATTATGACAAGAATGTCTCAACTTGATTGCCATCTACTAACTCAATGTCATATTCAGTGGTACTAATTTTTATCCCACCTTATAATTCTCAACAAACTCCATGAAGTCACGCATATTTCCAACATACTCAATCCTTCAACAATGCCCAGCACAATACATAATATGAGGCACAGGTCAATGAACGGTTTTGAAAGAATGGCTATAATTGGAGAAGTAGAAATGGATGTAGTCACGACCCACATTATGACTGGTTTTCCAATCCCAGCTCTCTGATAACTGGGTACATGATAACAGAAAAGTCAGTTAAAAATCTCTGCACTTCCCTCCTTGACCGCATTAGCAAAAGGGGCTATGGAGTCAAACCCATTATCACTTCTGTAATTTTAATGCTGGGAAAGAAGTCCAACCAATCTTGGGCAGGATCATAGCACTCTGGCTATTTTCTCTGTGTGCTCACCACTCCTTTATATACTTACTCCAAGGGTACCCGGGAAGAGCAGGCAATGCAAGTCACAAAGAATTCTCAGGAGGCCTCCCAAGTGGTTGATTTCCTCTGGCCACATGAGACTCCCCAATGGTAAGGCTCATATGGCTGAAGCCTCAGTGTTCAGAGTTTTACTCCTTTGTGCACTGTTCTATTTGATTTAGGAATAATTTCTCAAGCCTGTTTGTTACCATGAATTCCATATTTTTCTCACAATCACTGAAAATTCAATTTTCTCTGAAACAGTGGGGAAAAAAAAAAAACTAGGATTTTCAGTGAAAAGCTGATTATTTCCCTCCAAATATACCCATTCTTCCTTCTAGAAAAATGAAAGAAAACATCTCAGCAAGTTATCAGATACTTGTACTTCTCAAGGAGCTCCATGCTCTTAGAGAAGCCTGTGTAGGAGCCAGGAAACAGAGCTATAGTTCAAATGTCTCCAAGAACCAGATCCAACACTGCCTTTGTGGAAAGATTAGCACCCACCCATAACTGGCAAATGGTTACGAATCCCAGAATTCCACTCTGTTCTATGGAAGGTAGCTCTGATTACCACAGCTCCCCACCCCACCCCCGTCTCCCCACTAATACACCAACTTTGTATTCCTTTTTGTCGTATTATAAATCAGATGAAAGGACTATAATCCAGGAGGAGGGGAGAGGGCAAAGAAAACTGAAAGAAAATGACATGGCAAACTGATTTTAAGAAGGAGACAAGGCTTGAACTGAGAACACTGACCATGCCAATAAAACATGTAGATTCTTCGTGTCATAATGAAGCTGGCAAACACTTTACATCACTCACTCATAACG